TCTGAGGTTGCTTGGCTCACAGCCACTTCCCTGGCCACCACCAGTGCTTGTGCCACCGCTGCTGCCTCTGCCCCATGTCCCACAGCCACAGCTGTCACCACTTGCCCCATGGATCTGGCTCAGGGCATGGGATAAGTTTGACACTCCAGTTCTAGCTCATAAATTCATATGCTGCCTCCTATTAGTCAACCATTTCATTTATCCTGTGAAACTCTGCAGCTCTGAGAACTGATGGTCATACAGTAGGAGACATGATATCTCAAAAAACTAGAGTAAAAGGATGCCCTTTGCATATGAGGAGCAAAACTTTCAAATAAACCCTACATTTAGTGGGAATCTAATACAGATGACAAAGCAGGGCAATGGGGTCAAGGCAAGCTGTGATATTAAGCAGATGAGCTGCTTCAATCTGCATCAGCTGGAACACTTTCAGGGTGCATAACTTCATTCCTAAAATCAGGCTCTAATTCAAAAAAGCACTTACATGTGTGCTCAAGTTCATCTCTGCTTACAAAACTTAAAATATTAAGTTAAAGAGTGAACTGTGTCTGTCTTAATGATGTGTTTCTGAATAAAGGCCCATCAGGCCATTCTATCTGGCCCTAAGGGCCCCTAAAAATTTTAGAAAATTAGTATTTATCTACTCCTGGCTGCCTGTCAAAGATGACAGGTGCCAGCGACAGTAGGACCCAGGGGGAGTCAGCAGCAGGATGCAGGCAGTCCAGCCCTGACCCACCCCTAGCCATTTTCCTGCTTTCCTAACCCCACACTGCTCCAACACCACATGGCTCCTGGATGCATCGCTGGACCCAGGGACATGGGTACCTGGCTCCAGTACCCGTGTGTGTGTATGTGTGGGTATAGGGAGGGAGTGTGCGTGTGTGTGTGTGTGTGTGTGTGTGTGTTTGTAGGGTGAGTCCCACAAGCACACCCCACCATACACATGACACCCCCCCTCGCACTGTCATACAAGCATACCCCCACATCCACACTACCTCACACACTCCAGCCACCCCCCATGCACAGCCTCCCACAAACCCTATACCTACTCCCACCCCACATATCCAGAAACACACGTACATGTTCCTTCACCCAATACTCACACCCCCACACCTATCCACTCCTGCAGACACACCCACACCCTCCCCCACATCCACAGCCCCCCACAAACCTATACCCACCTCCATACGCCCACCCCTTCCACAATATACAAGTGTAAGACTTCATTTTAAACTATTATATACAATCACCTGTATGTACACTACACAAATGTATGTAAACTAGGACAAAAATATTTTTTGAAATCAAATTAATGAATGTTTTAGATGTTCGCTTTTTAGAATATAATTTTGTATTTTTCTGTTTCGGAGATGGCAAAACACTGTGCTGAAAGGTGGACTTTCAGGGGCAAGAGGAGGGTTAGGGGGTGGGATGTCTGGTCACAAGATGATGACCAGGGGGTGTGCCACCCATCAAGGGGTAGGGACACCCTCAACAGCTTGCCAAAACTCGGTAAAAGCCCTTCCACCTGAAGTAACTGCCCGTCCCTGCCATAATGAAACCTGGACATCATGTATCAAACTTTTGATTACAAAAGCAATTATAAAATCAGATGATTTTCAAAGGCTCAGGACAGAATGAAGCTTTGTGCTATCAGGCTTACCACCTATTCATAAATTTAACTTATTCAGCTTTCAACAGATTTCAAGTTTTACAGTTCCAATAAAAAAAATGCTGGTCTCCTGTATTGCCTTAATATTAAATGAGCTAAAAAACATAGTCAATACAGTTCAGCCTTACATTTTGTAAATTGAATTGCAGCTGCTGCTTGTATGGAGCAAACTCCTGTGCCAGTTCATATCCCTCGTGGTAAAAAGTAAATAATCCCTGAAGAAAGGACAAGAGCTGAAAAGGTAAAATAAAGTAATAGTAAATATAAACATATCCATGGATTGTAAGCACCAGAAATATAACATAGGGGAGTGACAGAAAGAAAAGTAGTCAACTGCGACGTGGAAAAGTTACTTCAAAGCATGACAAACACATTTATAAAGACACTGGAAACTAAATAACTAATGACATACTTTTAAATCCCTTTAATCAGCAAAACAAATATTTTTTGAAGATACTACTTTCAGCGCCACAGTAGTATGAGCAAGAAATTCACAGAAGAGGTCATCAGTGGTAATGAATTTGAAAACAGAACTGTTGTTTTAAATTTTACTTTAGACCTGTCACAATTTTTGCTTATAATTTTTAAATATTTCATCTGGGTTCTTTCTGAATCTAATATGATTTTCCATTTTTCCAGCAAATACTTTCCAAGTTCAAGGATTTTATTTTTTTAAATTCATGACTCTTCAGAATATTTTTCCACCTTCTTCGTTCCAATAACTCTGGCTATGGCCTATTTTTTCCAGATGAGATTTGAAAATAACCTTTGACTAGTTTAATCAATAAAAGGAATACAAAAAGTCCCAAACCAATCTTCCTGTTTTAAAGAACAAAATATACCTCTGTCTTACTTTAACTGGTATGTCTGCTCCAGTTTCCAATAAAGAAATTTAAGTTGGTATCTACAAAACTGAAAATCCTTTATTCTTTATTTATTTAATTTATTTTGTATTAGCTTACCTTTTATTTATTAAGCAGAAATAAGGATGCCACTAAAATTTCAGAAAACTCCATCTGGTCCCTACATGAATATACTTGTGCCACCTATTTATTTTTTAATAGCCTTATATTTTGGTCTATCTTTATTTCTGTTTTTATTGCTAAAAAAAGTGGGCAATTTTAAAAACACATCAAGTTGCACCATGCTAGTAAACCACAACAATCTTTTACTGTGGACATTTCATTACTGTGGACAATTCAGTTTGTGTTTATAAAGAAAAGCAATAGCAATATTATTTTAAAGATTGTACTTTGTGTTTTGATGTGTAATTGAAAAGTAGCACTTTTAAATGATTATATAAAAGCTAAACATTTTTACAATGCTGTTTTGGAATTTTTGCAGTTCCTTTAATTTTTCCATTTCTCTCTATTTGGACAAAGAAACTAGACACTTGCATCTCACTGGGGTTACCAGAAAGCTGTACTCCAATGTGCAAACACAGCAGGCAGCATCTGCAGTAATGATGGCAGTGATATTTTTGCTTCATCAAGTGCTGGATCTCAAACACTTTGCAAACATTAATTGGTTCAGTTTGACAATCTCTTTTTATAGATAAGTATTATCCCAATTCTACAAATGAGGACATAGAAACAAAATGTTAAGAGCTCAAGTCAGTGATGTGCTAGGAACATAAACAGGATTCCTGACCATCAAGGCTTTTCTTTAAACTTTATGTTAGCTTTATAAAACTTCTACATATCACCTGGGCATGTCTCATTGAAAACAACAGGGGTTTACACAATCAACCATCACAGTTCCACTGACTTCAGTTAAGCCCTAGAATGATTTGTATCCATTGAGAACCTGGTCTTGCAAGTCTTTTTTGGTGGGGTGGATGATTAGGCAGCTGGATCAGATAAAGATAGAATATGAGGGTATTTCAGAAAGTAGTGGCAAGTATGAAATAAAACCATTTTTTGTGCAATGACCATTTACTGGGGCACATCACTTCTCTACATAGTTATAATAATAGGCGTGTTCAACAATGCCACCATCAGTGTTTTCCACTGCACTTTCCCACTCACTGCACACAGAATGGTTTTATTTTGAAACTGCCATTACTCTCCAAAACACCCTTGCATGACAATCTCTGAAAGATGTAGTGTTTGCTCCAAAACCTGTTCTTTTAAATGGATGAAAAGTGCTTGATAACATGCCTTAGAACCAATGTTCCCTCTAAGGAGTAGTGGTCCATGAGCGCGCCGCTTTGGTCCATGAGCGCGCTGCTTCGGTCTGTGAGCGCGCCGCTTCGGTGTGGCGTGGGATATTTACCGAAGGTAAGCTCCTCACCCCTCACCTGAGCCAGGCAGTGGAGGCAGGGGCCCGGAGGCCAAAGGCCTGGTGGTTAGGGGCTGGGGGCTAGGTGGCCTGGGGGCTAGGGGATTGGGGTGCTGGGGGCCTGGTGCGGGCTCCGCCAGCTCCAGGACACTGCTCCGCTCCCCCACTTCACCTTGGGGAGCAAGGAGGTACATGGCATCCGGGCCGGGGAGTGGAGCACTTCCCCAGAGCCAGTGGAGCCCGCGGAGCAGTTCCCCGGAGCTGGCGGGGGCTCACTTGGGGCAGGGTGCTCCCTCAGGGTGCGGC